AGGGTGCAATAACATCAACTCGATAGTCAGTATGTAACGTCAGCCCACCATTTAGTACGCCAAATATCTTCGGACAATTCCATCATCACCAGCTGTCCAAACTTCAACACCACTTTGATTTTCAGGTCCAGACCCAAGCACCGCAACGGCTCTCACAGGATCGACGTCTCCTCCCGTAAGTTCCGCATATATTGAAACCTTCCCAGTGTGATTGTCCTCCCCCGAACCCGGATCCTGCGATTCGTCATGTGGATAATCAAGCTCAGCAATCCATGGCAACCCGTCTGTCGTAGCTATGACTAGGCCAATCCGTTCATTTGGTAGAGTGACGAAAGAAACATCTTCAATAGCAGCATCGGATCGACGGAATTTCAGAATGGCGTTGGACAACGACTGAGTCAAGACATCTGACTCTGCAGATGAAGATTGAGGTGGAATCTTGTAGATATTTATGACGCCGCCAGCGGTTCCTACAGCTAAGTATCCTCCTTTATTCGAAGACGAGGGTGAGACAGCTATAGCTGTCAGTGCACCATGTGGTGATCGTATAGACCTGAACAAGGTTTTCGGTCTAGAATCATCGGTCGACGGGGAGATCTGGAAAACTTCAAATGATCCGTCCTGTAGAGCGCAATAGAGTCTTCCATGGAGGACTGAAGTGCTGCTCTTTGCTTCCTCCCCATCTGTTTCGATCCCTCCATCGCCTGCTGCTTCACTAAAAACCATCCTGTTCACCCCGACAGCAGATCTCACCACTGATTCGGGCACTTGCTCCCCTTTACTGACGTCCCAGGTCCGTATCATTGCATCCGTACTGGTCGTCATGATGGATCTACCTCGTCCAAGAATCGCAGTAGAGGTGACCGCTCGAGTATGTCCTATTAGGCTACGAACTGCAGGTATACGAGGGCTCTGCTTGTCCGCAGGCATGTTTGGGGTAAGAGACGGTGATAAGGAATCCGCAGGATAAATCTGGACTGAAAAATCGGCACTTGAAGAGAGGATGACCCGTGAAGAGGGGAAAAATCGGAGGGAGGTAACGGTGCTTTTGTGTGCCTTTGGTGTGAGCATAGAAGGCGATGAGATGAGCGTCTGTCGGTGAGTTGTATATGTTGCCCTAGGAGGTTCGTAAGATGCCGATGTCGCGTATTTTTTGGTCGACGAGGATGTAGAAGAGGGCAGGGGATGTATGGCGTATAGATAGACCGATCCATCCAAGAACCCAGTCGTCAATTGAGATTTGTCCTCTGCCACCGCAAAGGTAGTGACGCTGTGCGGTCGACGTGTATTCGAGCGTTCAGGATCGGCATACTCTTGAACCGGAGTAAGTAGCCGAACAGGCGGAATAGACAGTGATGGTAGAGAGACAATGTACGAGTTTGTCAGTCCTGCGGCTTCTACCATCTTCAAATCACTACCATCTCCTTCCTTCGTGTCCAGATTAATCTTCTCCCTGTCAATTTCATCCAAAACTACCGTCACTTTTGAGTGGGAGGAACGCGACGCAGACGGGGAATGATCGTAGCACGATATCCAGATATCTTCAGATGGGATGACACCGTTGTAGACTTCGTTGATCACAGTGGAAAATGTAGATTGAATAGTGATAATTGGAAGTGTCTGTATTGGAACTGGATGATGAGAGAATGAATCGTTTGTAGTGGGCATGGTGGTTTGGGGAGAGAAGTAGAAGCTGAGCAAGGAACTGTGGGTGACGCAATCAGGGTAGTTTATGTAAGTTCGAACCACGCTCGTGTCATTTTATTTTTCAGAACTGTTAAATAAAATATTGTGTACTTCAAGGTTCAAACGTTCACGAGTCATCTAAATCAGATTGACAATATTAATAGGCATTTACATGAGCATATTCTAATGCAGTGGATGGTGTTACAGAACTCCTCCTTACTCCGTTGAAATGAATCCAGCTTCAGCCACATGATGAAGGTCGAGTAAACCTTAGTTTCCAATCCAACTAAACATGTATTAGTACCTGGACAAGATAAAAAAAGGGAAAAATATTCCAACTTACACTGTGGGACCGGGAATGAGATAATCCTAAATGTGTAATATATCATGAAAAAATGAATGAGTGCAGCGTCCGAACAAGGGTTGGTAAGTATAATTATGCTCACACTTGTATTTGTGTATGCGTCATAAACTATTCCCGGACTTTTAGCAGTATCGGGCTCCAGGGAAGGAGACAAAAGAGTCCGGGAAGGATATATTTGGGCACCAGGATAGGTGGTTGCTTGAAGAAGTAGTACTAACTCAAGTGTAATCTGGAATATAAGAATGGGCAGCTACCTGCATGCAAACTTGAAGCAATTCTATTTGCACAGAAGGGTGTCAGACCAAAAAGAAATGTTTGTCAACTACCCCGAGTCAAGTACTCACATCTCATGCCTAATGATATACTGCCCGAGCTTCAAATTCTCGGGGACAGTAAAGGTATACCCGTAGTCCGATGCAGCGAGGAGATCTGTCGCTGCCCATTTTCCGTCAGGGGTCTTCCCAACTTCGTCGGTTTTGAACCGGACTATTATTGCCGTTTGCATAAAAGTTGGCGCGGCATGTAAACACGCATAAATTTGATCATTTCGCTGCTCATCGTGCGCGACGAATATCTCGTCAACGAGTACACCTTTTACCTTCAATCCAAGTGCATTTCAATACTATTTTTCAATGTCTCTCCCCTCCTCCCTCCTTCCTTCCTCCCTTGCTACACAGTCATCACGATCGGTATCTTGACCTCTCAAGGATGCGCTCTCGGTACCGAAAGCACTTCCAACGCGTCAGCGTATCGTATTCCTATCGGTCTTCAGTTCATTTGGGGTTTCATTATTTTCGCTGGAGGGTTTATTATTACTGAGTCTCGTGAGTCTCCCCAACCCTCTACCAGCCCCAAACTCTCCTCCATACCTTGATCCTTTCTCAACAAACCCCTCGCTCTCTCTCGCGCACGCATAAAACAGCCCGATGGTACGTCAAAAAAGAACTCAACTCACAAGCCCTCACCTCTCTCGCCAAAATCCGTAACCTCCCCCCCACCGACCCCGCGATAACCACCGAATACGAAGAGATCAAATCGATGCACGAATACGAACTTTCTTTGGGTACACCTACGTATGGAGAGTTGTTTAGGGGGACTTTGGCTCCGAGGACTTGGGTTGGGATTAATGTGCAGATGTTTCAACAGTTGACTGGGGTTAATTTCGTGAGTGTTTCTCTTAGTTTCTCTCTATAGTAACATAACATCCCTAATATCTACTCTAGATCTTCTACTATCGGCACAGCCTTCCTTCCAATCCGCCGGAATCACCAAACCATACCTAATAACCGTAGCCACAGGCGTAGTCAATGTCTTCATGACTTTTCCCGGTATAATCCTAGTCGAAAAACTAGGTCGGAGAAAGTTCTTGTTATACGGTGCTGCTTGGATGTCGTTGTGTCAACTGATCGTGGGCGTGGTGAGTATCACGGTTAGGGATAAGAGTGGGCAGAACGTGTTGGCGGGTTTCACTTGTTTGTTTATTGCTGGGTTTGCTTCGACTTGGGGGCCTGGGGGTTGGGTTTTGAGTGAGTGTCTTTCGGTTCAACAGTACTTTCGTGTGTTCGTTTCTCTGATCAATCTTTCTCTCTCCCTTCACAGTCGGAGAACTCTTCCCACTCAAACACAGAGCCCGTGGAATGTCACTCGCCACGGCTTCCAATTGGTGGTGGAACTGGGTGATCGCGTTCGTGGTGCCGTATATCACAGATGCGGCGTATGGGAATTTGCAGACTAAGATTGCGTTTATTTGGTTCGCTACTGTGAGTCTCCGTTTCTCCTTACCCTTACCCTCCTCCTCTTCCACTCCTCCTCTGCTCTCCCTGCTTCGAGACTCTTCGCATATGCGCGTATACTAACACACACTCTCTCAATTCTAACCCTTACATGCGTATGGCACACACACATATAGTCCCTCATAGGCTGCGTATAGACATTCTTCTTCGTCCCCGAAACCCGGTACCACTCTCTCGAGACTCTAGACGAGATGTTTGAGTCTGGGGTTAAACCTTGGAACACGGCCAAGTGGGTGCCGAGCAGTGCTGATGCCAAGGGGGGGTATAGGCCTGGGGATATTGGTGTTGTTGGTCATCATGTTAAGGGAGGGAAGGAGGTGGAGCATGGGGAGCATGAGGGAGAGGAGGAGGGGAGTGAGAAGGAGAAGGTTAGTGCGTAGGCGTAAAGAGGGGGAAAAAGCTTTGTTTGTGATGTGAAATGATGCCGACGCCTTTTTCTTGTTCTACTTGTTACGCACCTTTGTACGCCCAAACTTTTGTTAGTTGTTTTCGTCGACTCTTATTCTTTCTCTTTCCTCGTTCCTCTTTTTTTGGGGTGTTTTGTATCTATTATAAAGCTTTTACGATACGATACGATATGCATACTATAACGTTACACTTCTTTTTTTGTAAACGTTGTGTAAGAACTTGGTACTTAGTTTATTTGTGAAATCGATATTTTTCTTGTTACCTTTTTTGAGTTTTGGTTTTGATGTTTGAATGACGGTGCCTAGAGGGAAAAGTAGAGGAAGGGTAAAGAATCTGTTCTGTATTTGCATTTGTCCTCTTGCATTGATTGTGCGCGTGTACATATACATGCGTTGATTGAGGGGCTAGATTGAATGAAGGAGTTCGAGAGTGGAGGGAGGACATCAATATCAAGAAGCAAGTTTACAGAGTGAGTAGCGCGCGTATATCATTATACGTACTATACAACTTATAACTAGAACTGTTTGCAGTGGCCAAAATCAGTGAGAAGTACCACTAGTGCTTCCCCTGAAAGCATTTCCGGCTTTTGACTCTGTAAAGACTGTATGTTTAGCTCAAAGCCGCAATACATATGTTTGAAATTTGGCAGCAAAGTGTTTTTTATACTCTTGGTTGTCCTCGTATTAATTTTTTGACACCCTCCCTTCCCTACGACTCACAGATGACTGTACCTCAAAACACACGTGTACGGTCCTGTAGTGTAGCGGTTATCACATGGGATTCTGATCTCTCGAATATAATCCGATTTTCCCATGACCCAGGTTCGATTCCTGGTAGGACCTTACACATTTCATGGCACATTTTCTTTTTTAAAGTCAACGCCACTGCTATACAGGCGTAGAATGTACCTAAACACCCATCCTTGACATGATACGTACACAATGTATGTTTGTATATACTTTATTGCATCAAAATTCATTGACGTATACGACGGTCTGATATGCCTTCAATTGACTTCAAGTTCATCCCTCTCTTTTCATCTCAACTCAGCTCAGCTGAGGTTGAAGCGAATTGAATCTTACTACTCTAGATTTTTCACACACATTCAGAAATGCGCAGCTGGTCTGATTCACTCCTTCTCAGAAAATGACACTACTATCTACATCCGAAGATCCGCGCTGGACATTATCCGTCTTCAAATTGATTTGTTTAGATGGGCACATGAAATATATCAGTTAGGTACATATGTGGCTCGTTAGTCGTCCGGACACCGTATGTTATCAAGTTGAACGAACAGCCCCAGTGAGATCTAAGTAATCAAGCTCTAGCTCCAACTGTACACTTGGTCCTGTGCGGTTTCTTCGATAAATAATACCGCTGCTCCGTTGTTCAGTCAATTGGCTTATTTCTTTTTCCGCCCAGGTCCCAGTAGGTTGTGTTTCGGAAAATCGGAAAACCGGCATTTAAAAATGCCTTTAACAATCAACTTTATCTGTCTGGATCCGGATGGGTCCGGATATATATATTGCCTACTTATCAGTTTCTATTAGAGAATGAAGGAGGAAGTCGAATAAGTAAGTCTGGGTGAGTTTCTGAGGTTGTTGGGTAGGGTGATGGGAGTCGCTCCCCGTTTCTCCTGTTTGTCTTCCCATGGTAAGTAGCCTATTATTTGAGGTAAGTGGCTCTATAGAGCTCTATATAGCTGAGATTTGATTATTACGGTGATGGGGAGAGGGAAGGGCAAGAATTACATCAGATAAAGATCAAGTATGTAGAGTACTTATACATATACGGGTGATTATGTTACATTTCTAGGGAAGGATCCCCACATGGAGACTGGCTGGTGCCCAAAAATTTTGTTTCGTTGTCTGAGCTCATTGGTGGTTGACGTGTTCTACTGAGCATCGGAAGTTAGAGTTTGCTCAATGGATATTGATTCGGTACACTGGACACAGGCCTTCAAAGGTCGAAGATCAACGTGTAGCTCGCTTACTTTTCAGTCTACACACAATTCAGATTTCATATCTGAGTTAATTCCGCCGCATACACACATACATCGTCAATTTTGTCTGCGTCGTTGCCATCACTCATACCGAGCCTCGATCACCATGGACAGGAGCCCCGCCATTGGATACTTATCTTCCTATCGAGACATCCCCACATTTTTTCTGATTACGCTCTCCCTAGTTGGGTAGACACTTAGATGGTCCGACTCTATAGGTTTAAAGTTACAGGAATCAGCCGTTCTCCTGAAACGACAGGCTGAATTCATCACTGTTTACATTGTTCACCAATGTTATCAATGAATGTTGTGGGTTTAGCAAGAATAAGGTCGAATACGGCATGACATTGAGTCGAGGATAAGTAGTAGGGATGAGCCCTACTCATCTAAAGTTGCCTTTGGGGTTCATGATTGGTTCATGTAGCTAGGTAAATAGAAGGTTGTAGCTCTAGTGAATCTATAATCGATACATCTCTAGACTCGTAACCAGTCAATACGCATGGAAGACTCTGACGTTCGCCAAAAGTTTTGATCGCCTGTCATCAAACCATTGAGGAGCGGCGGCTGTTTCGAGTCTAATACATCTCTGCTTCTAAGTAGTTCCGTTTGAATCCGCCAAAGATACAGGCTGTGGGGTTTTCTGGAAAAGTAACGTTTTCAGGTCCCAAACACGAACTTTTCCATCCTGACACCCTACTGCAATGCTCTCGCCGTCTTGTGAGAATGCAAGAGAAGAAATACCATATTCATCCTTCGGATGCACTTGCATCACTTCATTTTCTTTTTGAGAGTCCCAGAAGTAGATGACGCCGTCCTTTGATCCAGAAATGCAAGTCTGTTGGGAAGAGCATGCTACCGCATAGACTTCTGTGTCGTGTTTCCAGAATCTCTTCACAGTCATCTTCGTTGACGACATGTCCCATACCCTGACTGATTTGTCATTGGAGCTAGAAACCATCCATTGTCCATCGGACGAGAAGGCGACAGACCAGACCGCTAACATATGCCCTTTTAAAGGACTCATTGTCGGATTGTTAATCGTATTCCATACTCTCACGGTCTGGTCATTTGAACCCGAGGCTATCTGAGTCCCGTCTGGCGAAAATGTGACAGTATAGACTGGTCCTGCGTGTTTTCCAACTTCTCGCAAATAGTTCACTTCATCGTCCTTTACTTCCCAAAGGCCGATAGAGCTGTCTTTTGAGGCCGATGCAATAAGAGTCCCATCTGGTGATAGTGCAACAGACAAGACCGATTTTAGATGTCCCTTGGGCTCATTTACAGGATCAACAGTCCCTGTGTGAGAATCCCAAGTATCCACATGATCTACTTTTTTGTCCCAGACACGGATTTCCATGTTTTCTGAACAACAAAGAATCCGAGTGTCACCCTTCAAAAGGACAAACATGTGTCCATCGAGCTTCTTCACCTTCTTGCCCGTTTCCACATCCCAAACTTGAATGAATCCATCCCTCGAGCCCGAAACAACATGAGTACTGTTTTGCCAAAAAGAAACAGAATGGACTGGTTGTTTATGTCCTTCCAATACCGTTGGCCCTGAGATGCAGCATGGTTTAGAGGATTTTTGACTATAGTGATAAGTAAGTGACATAAGCTTACCACAAAAAGTATCCAGTATCTTGCGGATATCATTCTGCACTTCGGTAGTCTGGTCATCCATCTTGCATATCAGCTCCCGAAGCTTAGCTTTGGGGTACGTTTCAGCATTCTGAGGTGGTTGAGTAAAGGCAGCCAATGCCGTCATTAGGCTGGTCATGATGTGTTTCCTCTGGCCCATTTTTTTCTCATATTCGGCTTGAAGAAAATGAAAAAGGAGGTCAAATGCGCCAGGAAACTTGACGAGCTCTTGAAGGCCTTTCTCTGTACATTATGAATATTAAGCATAAGTATGACGAATTACGAAACTACTTGCCTGAAGAGATTCTGGTCATAAGAACATCTAGGTGTGTTTCATTTACATTTGATCGAGGTCTGTAATCAGACAAAATAGTGGTAAGTGAAGTGTAGACATCTTCCTCAATCATGTTATGCATCTCTTTCTTCACTCCAATTTTACTCTCCCAGGAAACTTGATTGGGAATGTGAGCTTTTGGTTCGTAATATCCTGATGATTTTCTCCCTTTCTTCGCTTTTTGGTTCTCCTCCTCAAAGACTAAGTCAATAACTGACTCATGAATCTTTTGGCCAGGCTGAACTTGTCGTGTACGTCCATAATGAGGCCTTAAATAGGTAATTTCATGGATTTAGCTGCTATGGAGTCGAGTTCAAATTTAAAATCATATCAAAGACTCACCAGTGTGTTGTGTTGTTTTTTCCTTCATACGAGAGCCGGCGTATAGGAAGCACTTCAAGAAGCTTCCATAGTCCAGTCAAAGACTCTCTAGGCTTCATTGATTTGAAGTCTCCTCGATGGGGTTGCATTTTCAGTCCACAGTCAATTGCTTGATGTGACATCCATCGAAGAGCTGGCCCAAAATGATCAGATTTCAAGTTTTCAGTATTACCGCCACCACTAAACCTAGGTCAGCATGATCCAGTAAACACGTAGTCAATGTGTAGTACGTACATGTCTGAATGAGATCCAGCAAACCAAACTTCCCTAATATTGCCTTCAGATGAGGGGCCCACACCACCATTAGCATACTCGGGCAGAAATTTGACCCGTCGTTCATCAAGGGCAAGTGCATGGCGAAATGCACAAACATGCTTCATACCCGTAGTTGTCTCCGGGAGGCTTGGTCCCTTCACAATTCCAATTGATGATACTGTATCCCTAGTAAAGAGTTGTTAATAACCAGTTTCTTTGTTAACACGCCATATCTTCCTACCATGCACCGACAAAGTGAACCTTAACATGAGGCCTTGATAATGTATCCTTGAAATATTTACATAAATCTTCCTGGTTGCTTTGACTCTTTTTCCTTTGTAAACCCTCAGTTCCAGGAACACTACGCTTTGTGGATGTAGTGCTTGAAGTATACAATTCATACGCGCTGCAAAATTATTAATTACAAGAAAATTAAAATACATACAAAAGCTCACAATGCTATCTGGTCATTGTTGCCCTTGTAAAGAAGGCCAACCTATGAGATATAATAGTTTCACTTAGTCTAAATCATACTCAGATACTCAAACAGACCTTCTCTATCATGCCAGCAATCACACGGACTTGATATGCGCCTCGGGAGAATCCTGTGGTGAAACTCAATATCCAGATAAAATGAATTGTTACGTTGTTTGTAGACGCTCACCAAACAAAAAAATTCGACCGCCATCCTCATAATTTTCAGACAGCCATTGATAGGCACTCAAAACAATTCGCTTGAAATTCCTATATGCGATTGGTGAGTACAGCCTTGGCGGTGCATAATGATCTTAGGCCCCATTCTGTAAATTGGACAGGCTAACAATTCCCTCGCCAAAAATAATCTTTCATTTCCCTGTCTTTCACCACACAAATATTTTAGCGGGGAACACTCATCTTATCCAGTTTGCAGAACAGAGCCTAAACCTTCGAGAGACATGAGGAATCGAGCTCACCATGCAATTGCCATGTCCACTTTATGCCCAAAGACCTGCTTCATGTATTTGGGAGACATCCATGACTCTTTGGCATAGGTTCCAATGCCACTGTTATAGTAAGTAAGTTGGGTAGCATTTTTTTCAAGACGATTATACAGCTCCACAACATTTGTATTCTGGGTGCAAATTAGTTGCCCAAATTGAAAGCGAGCTGGAAGGACAGGAGGAGAGAAATCTGACCTTAAGTCCAAATTGATTTGCTGTGCCATCAATACAAACAACAAGGTTCCTCTTATC